TCCCAGAGATACTATATAATTCCTCTTTGATTTAGATACTAATATTATTAGTACTCTCCAATCCAAGCGTATATTTATTATGAGAAAGAAGTACTCATCAACATCCCAAGAATAGAAATCGAAGGCTTATGAAAAATCAAATCCTTACGTATCGCTTATTCTCTCGCTTCTTCATAAGTATACGAGAGCGCACAGAAAGAAATAAGAGAGAAATAAGAGAGAGAGAGAGTAAGAAATAAGAGATCCAATAAGATTTCGTTAATCGATCTTGAATTAGATAGAAATATTAGTAATAGTAGTAAAAATAGTTATAGTAATAGTAGTACTAGAAATTATAATAATAGAAATTGTAGTAATTATTATTAGTAGCTTCGATATTCATAGAAATGTGCGAAGACCGATATACCGTTTATATCGAGTTTTACAGAGTATCTTGCACTTGAAGTGCCTTTCGTGACGGTGGCCGTTTTTCCGTGCCGTGATATGGGAGATAAACCGTTTGTATTGGTTTCATAACATCCTGCACTCGAAGTGCCTTTCGCGGTGTTTCGTGCGAGTGCAATGTGGTTTAAAGGGGGGGGGGCCTTGGTTGCCTGGAAATCAGGAAAGGGGGAGGCCCCCTGGTTTGGCTGAAAGATCAACGAATTGCGCGGTTTGGCGCGCGACCGGGGAATTCCAGTAACGCAGTAGAAATGAAATATTAGCTACGCTAACCTTCGTGACAATGCTAAATAAAGACACAAGAATCACGGGGCCCTCCCCCATTTCTAACATTGGGAAATCCAAGTGGGGCGTAGAGTTCCACGTAGAGAACGACTGGCACCCGCCGGTTCCCAACGAGCACGATTTAGATCCCGTACAAAGAAGAACTAAGATCCGCCGGGTCCCAGTATGGAGAAGACCTCGGACCCGCCAAGTCCCATCAAGTCCGTCTCGGATCCCACTCTATAGAAAGGCTGCTGCCCCCGAATCATATCCAACCTCCGCACACAGGTCGCAATTGCATGGGGTGTTTTCCGTAACTCAATCAACCTATATTGGCAACGCGTATCGTGACACGAGCAAAGCTAGTGATTCTAAGGGCGCGATTCCGGGACCAAGAGTATTTATACTTCCAACTTCATTATAGCGCCGCACCTATCTAGAGGACATGCAGACAACATCACGGCATTAGATTGGCATGGAGCGGGCTCACAGTTGGCTCAGCGCATGCTTGATGCGCATAAACGCACTGCGAATCCCACGATCCTTGAAGAGTACAGCGCAACAAGCATGGACGCGCCAAACTGCTTGGGGGTTCAGACACTCATCCAAAACCGACGTTGCTTTTGGTACTTGCATCAAAGAAACATGCGTGCATGTTCCAGATAAAGCTTTCAAACGGTCGCAACCCTTTGAGGGTGCTTTCCGGCGGCATTTGGAAGGAGCTCGAAAGCCATTCTGCTGGGAGCTCAACCCGAAAGCATGATTCCAAGTCTACCCTTCTTCCTGGCTGGTAGCCTCAGCCGATGGACACGTAGAAGGACAAGAATGCATCCAAGTCCAAGTGCCTTCGCCAGCCTTGCCTTGCGGCAATCCACCACTCCTGCTCTCGACTTCGAGCGCTTTCCAAGTGGCTTAGAGTTTAGAGCCCCTTAAAGCTATATGTCTCTGCTGCTGCATATCTCAGGTATCCCAAGTGCCGGAGGAAGAAGAGGCCGGCCTTTCATACGCTCCTAAGGCTCTGTGCAGGACTTCCTCTTAAACCCATAAAGCACCCACCCGAAACCAATACGACTCCGCACACCTCCCCAGAAATCCTTCTCTCTGGGCTCCTTCTTCTTCTTCTCTGGCAGCTCTTGCCCCGGCCTTAGTGTTCGAAGAGTTCGGGAGTCTGAGGCTGTTGGTGATCCCCTCATACTAAGGTACCACGGATCCTACACTGCAGGGCTTGAAGGGAATCAGGGGCTTTATCCGGGGACTTGTGAAGCTCTGTTCGGTAATTTTGGGCCGCTACGCTTCGTTCGGGATTGCTAAAGGCTCAGAATTCAGGTACTGGCTTATCAAAATTTCCCAGGTGGCGGAAGATTTGTCAGCATTGCCATGAGGGATAGGAACTCCTCGTAGCCCAGCTTGCCGCTTTTGTTGCGGTCGGCCTGGTGTAGACAAGGTACGAGGGCTTCACGGATGGTTTTGGGAGAAGCTACTCGACGAGTGAATGCGCTGATGGCACTGTACAGCCGCACGAGTCAATCGACACTCTGCTTACAAGTAGAAGAACTGGGTGTGAATGCACATACACGAATCTCCAAGGCAGTGAAAGAATACAAGCATAATGTCACTGCAAGTCTTCGTCTGACCATCACACCCTCTCGTGTCCGATCTTTGCAAACATTGCCACGAAAGGCCCAAATCAAAGGCACTAAGACCCTCAGTCTTCAACCAATTTTGAAATCTACATCTTTGAATGCCTGACGGCTAACTCCAAAAATTCACTCCTGGTCGAACTTCTTCTTGAGCTGGTCGAGTTCCTGGGCTCTTTCTCCCCCTCTGCAAACCACATTCAGAACCCTCCCCGCCTTACCGCCAGTGAGAATTCGGAGCTGATGTTTTGAAGTTTTGCAAGGTTTTCCACGTTCAGCACCCTTGATCTTGCGCTATGTGCGAAGCAGCTTCGACGAAGCTGAAGCCATACTTCCGCGCCAGCTGTCTCAACTCCCTCTCTTGACGGCTGAGGAGCACCTGCGCGAGCCCCGATGTCGAAGACGCATACCCGACACTGACACCATCCCATGATCCCTGGTTGAGTCTGAGCCCTAAACCATACACCCAAACCCAAAGCCTCCCGCAAAGTCCAAAAGGGAAATCGACAAATCCCGGACCTCCTCAGAGAAGCAGTAGCGATGGTAGAAGTCGAGGAACTCGACCAGGTCGAGCGCATCGTTCTGGTTCCTTGGGCAGCCACTATGCTGTAAGGGTAACGTATAGAAGGTGGCTTGTGCATGGTTCTATGCTGGTTCCGTAAGAGCTGCAAAAAGTTGTCTTAGGTGAGCTCCGGAGCTTGGCTTGGAATCGAAGCTGAAAGAACACTCGTAGAATATTTCGTTGGAGAAACGAATAACGGCTTGTTCAGCGAGGAATGAGATGTCCACTCGCCCAGCCCCGAGTCACCGACAAACGCCGTCACTTCTCTCGAGCATCTGGGCAACTGTGAGGTATGGCAGCGAGATAGTCTTAGTCAGCAGTCAAGAGTCGCAAGCTGCCGTGAATTGAATCACACCCTGATGGAGATTCCATAATCGAATGAAGGATCCTCGAACGGTTGTTGCTTCTGAATTGTCCAAGGCCGAGCACGGCAACTGTCCGGCGGGTACCGTTTCCTCCGCATCAGTCCACATGCGTCTCCAAACTTCGTCGGGCAAGCTTCTCTGGCCGGAACTTGCGTTTCTGGGCTTCTCACGCTCTTTCTCTCTCGACCTGGCTGGCAAAAATTCTCAGGTCGAAGTCCATGGATGGCGAGTCTGGGATTCTTGTGCTCACACGCCCCAGAAAGCTAGCTGTTGCTAACAAGCGCAAAGGGAGGTCGGCATATCGTTTGTTGTCGTTATGAAGCTGGATCGAGCGGAAAGGGGCTCACCTGAATTCGGTAAGCTAGGAAACCTGTGGGCGTCAGCCCGAAGACTGCTGGATCGAGGATCTGGGTGCACGCTTGCATGATCGTCTTATGGTGGACGGGATCTCGAAGCTCCAGATCGTTGTCGCACGGTTTTGCGAGCACTGGCGATCACCAAGAGTGCACTAAACCAAACTTTAGGGCATTTAGGGCAGGAACTCCTAGAAGTTGTAGCAGGCACTCTGTGCCAGACCGTCTTTTCCCGAAAGGTCAAAGAAATGGGCTAGAAAAAAGCCAAGAGTCGCATCGACCGCTTTCAGCGCGCCTCCGACGAACTCCATGTCCAGCTGCGCGGGGTCCTCCACGTCGCTGATGGCGCAGCAGGTCTGGAAGAGCGCGCTCCGGGACATGCTGCCCAAGCTGGGCAGCTCAAAGGGCACACCGTCCAGAACGGCTTCCTTTCAACATGTGTTTCCGGGATGTGCATAAATGCCCTTTTGAGGACTAAGGTCGATCGAAGCAGCAGGCAATCTGCGAGCCTCCGACAGCCCCAGCTCTTCGCGATCCCATGTGCCAGTGTCGGCAAACTGATAGAACCAGTTGAAGGCTTGCTTGCTCACCTGGGTGCAAACGCTTCGCTGAAACGGGTCTTCGTGCATCTTAATATTTTCATAAACCCCACCTGCCAAGGGATATCCTGAAGCTGCGAAATCTTCTGCAGGGTTATCTTTTCCAGCGGCGTCGGCGCCCTTGCCTCGGCAGCAGAGGAACTCGGAACTCTCGAAAAAAATCTGCCCTCATGGAAGTTGGCACGGGGCAGCAGCAGATTACCTACAGACTTAGCAGGTCGTCTCAAAGGAGCATGTAACTCCTCAAGTCTCGGGAGTATGTTCAAGCTCGAACTAGGCAAACGTCTGGCATCCGTCTACAACCCGCTGCGTGCGAAGATTTTCTATGCAGGGATACTTCTCGATGGGTGCCTGTTTGGAAGGAAGGTCGGTATGGAAGAATGCTGCCCGATTACCCTCCATCCCAAATACGGGTGTAGCTGCCCACCAGAAAAGAAAGCCTTTCAAACCCCCAAGCCATATCAGAAGCCGATAACTTAACAAACCTAAATCCAAATTCCTGATCCCGAAATTCATGACCTACTTACCTACTTATAATATATATATATATATATATATATATCTGTAAACATCTGTATATACAAACGCACACACACACACATAACAACCTTGTTTGAACCCCCCCCCCATAAATACAGACCATCGCTGACCTCCTCCTTCGGCGGCAACCCAGAGCGAGCAGAGCTCCGGCGTCTTCCCAACCGGAGGGAGGCCGACATGCGCCTGGTGAGCCTCTTGGGTTTACGGTAAAAGGTTTAAGGTCCTTTTTGGGGGGTCAGGGTTTCAGGGCTTTTGGGCTTTACGATTGAGGATAGAAGCCTTTAGGGCGTCGATTTGGGGGTTTTGTGCCTTGGGCTTGCGAGATTGGGGTTTGCCCGATAGAAGGGGACTGAACGATGGAGCCAACTGTGGTGGTCCGGGCTAGAACGGTCTCACCTACACTTGCATTACCGAATGATAGGTGTGAACTCGACGCATGCCTGCTGAAGCTCGTCATGCTGGTGTCTGCCATATCCCCTGTCTCACTGGACAGGGATGTGCGGGCGGTGGAGGGCTCCGACTCCTGTGACGAGGTTCGGACGGCAGACTGCTTCAAAATCTATCAAAAATCTCTTGCATCGACTGCAGGGTTGAAGTTGGGGACATCCGTTTCACGAGCGATAGATGATTTCTTGGCTTGAGCTGTGTAGTTTCACACATCGATCCCATTGACTGGCTGCCTCGGGCCGTACACTTTCTCATGTCTTCAACCTTGAGTGAGCAAGCAATGCCCGGAATTTGAGAGCCTCTGCTTCCTGTCCTGGACCCCCTGCACACGAAGGTCTCGGAGGGGATCCCAGTCGCACCCTGGCCGCTCCATACTTCTCAGCAAGCTGCTGGTTAGGTCCAGCCTCTCAGGGCGACGGCGGGCCGTGGACTAAGAGTTGGACTGAGAATCTCAGTTTGGGCTAGCGAAGATCCAAACATTAAAGAGCTGGTTACAGCGTGGGACGGCGCCTTCTCATGTTGCCCAAGAGGGTCGGCTTCTTCCTCACGGGCGTTGGGACGAAGAACTGTTCAAGTCACAAGTCGGGAGGCTGCTGTTTGGGCTAACTCTCGGATAGCATGGGCAAGAAGGCTCCAAGAGTTACTGGTCAGGGTCCTCTTTCCGAGCACGCCTTTGAGCCACGTCTGGTGCTCGTCCCTGGGCGAGGAGGTCTCCTGACGATTGCGATACGGATTTTGCAAGCATGGTCCATACGGAACACGGCCGGAGGCTTTTGCGACCTGCTGCATCAAATTGTTGCTGGCAGCGAAGACGTTGCAGTGCTTGACATCTACGTTTATATCACGGTCATGACAACCTGCCCTCTAGCAATCAGCTTTGCATGTGGGCAAACGAGCCACTGCTTCCAGCGCAGGAGTTTCGAAGCTCAATAGTTTGCTTTGTAGTGCTGGACTAGTTCAAAAGCCGACCAAACAAGCCCTGCTCGCCGCCTGGCCGAAAGATCTCTTGACGTCGGACCTCGGATGCAGTTGCTCAGTTGATGTGGCTTCTTATGAAGCTTGAACCCCTTCATGGGGGGTCCGAATGGTCTCAGGTAAGCAATTGCATGTCACGGCATTCCTCTAACGTTTGGGTTGTCGTGCTCGCTCGCCAAGAAATGGATCACAGTACTGTGGCGTGGAACTGGAGAGGCGGGTGGGTAAAACTTCCGTGAGATCGAAAAGCACGGTTACACATCCTATGAGCTCTTTGGCGGGATATGCATGCTTCTCCCAGGCCTCCCGAAACATGGTAATTAGAAGAGATGCTGCTCTTGGCTAAACACAGCTAACCTGCTCTCGTAACTCAGTCGCAGTCTCCCTTTAGATAACATGGGGCCTACAGTAAACAATTGCCAATACCTTTGGTCCTTGTTGGAATTATTGTAACGGTAATAGAATATAGCCACATAGCCCAAAGCCCTGTGTAGAGCCGAGCTGCCGCAGTTTCCACTCGCCGTCGTAAGACGTGGCCAAAAAGCGCTGCGAGGATGGCGGCCTTGGTGCTTATATCTATCCAATATGGGAGTTTCCGAAAATTAGGGGTACCTTATTTGGGGTCCTTATAATAAGGATCCTACTATTTGGGGTACTATATTAGGGTCTCCTGTTTTCGGAAACCTCCATATAGGGACCTCAATCATTAGAATAGGGATGTGGGTTTTTCGTACTTTCAACATAATCAGGAACCCAAAAACCTATCTAATGCGATTCGAGGTCTCAGGGGGAATAAAGACCAGCTTCGCAGTAACTTGAAGTCATACTGCGTGTCACCCAAGCTGCCTATGCTCTTCGTTTCAACCCTTTACCAAACATGTGCTTATGCTATATTCGAAAGGACTTCCACAACACCCTCACTCCAATGATGTGAAATGCACATTTCGGGCAGTTTCAGCTTGAACTCCTCTGGTCGTCGACATGCAAGACTGAGGTTTAGGTGTCAGGCACACAGGTGTCCGGCTTTAGAGTCTCAGGCAGCTTCCCATGTCGACTTGAAAGGAGCCAGAGCGCTGGAGGATGTCATTTCTTCTCCCTAAGTAAGCTTCATATCTCTAACCCCTGTAAAGCACTAAACCGTAGTGATGTTGGACCCTTAACCCTGTGCCGCCTGTTGATCACGTCCTGGCCCCGACGGGCGAAAGATCTTCGCCCAAGCGAGGATGAGCCTCCGGTCGCCACCTCGTCTGAAGCTTCGGAGCTTCGGAGCTTGAGGGTCTTTTCCTGCCTTGTTTTGCAGCTCTGCTTGCTTCGAGGTCTCGTCGGGCTGCAAAGGTTCAATCCGCGCTTCGAACATAGGTCCACACTGCCAAGAAAGCCTTGCAGAAGGATATCCCTCATTGCTGAAGCTCGCAGCTTTGCAACAACAAGCAAAAGCTGCCCCCTCGCAACTCAAGGACCCAGAACCGCGCGGGAACCACCAGAAGCTGTCACCGCACCGTCCTGAAGCCAAACTCTTACTACCCGAAGCATCGAGTCCCGTAGGCTTCCCGCAGCCCTGCAAGTCAAACTTCCCGTCTTGGCCGGTTCCGAGGGGCCATGGGCTCCGGAACTTCGCCCACAGGTTCCGCACGCAAACGCTCGAAAGACCTTGGGCTGGAGGCTTGTGGATCCGAGCGACGCCCCTCTTAGGGTCTTAGGGGCCTTACGCCTTACGACTTCGTTTGCGGTTTCTGTAGGCCACAGGGGCTCAAAGCATCCGGCCTTCGTTTGTTGGACTAGGACAAGAGGCCGCGCTGAGGAGATTCCGATAAAGCAAAAAGGCTCAGCACGACTTCATGCCCTTACCCTGCCCGAATCTGACGAAGGGCACACCGACCGCCGAGCTCATTCTCTGGAATGTCTTCTCCTGCAGATGGAAGAAGTCGCATTGGTTGGTGCAGGGCCCTTCCTCAACTCCTTATCTCTCGCACTCGAGTTACTTCACACAACAGCACTGCAGCCATGGTCGACCCAAGCACATGGTGCCACAAGACACAACCGCGTTGGTTGAACTCCAGCCGCCGCTTCTTTGCCGGGTGTCGATGCGCTAGGGACTGGAGCACCAACTGGGTTTCAAACGACAAGCGCTTCCTTCGTGAGTCTACCGACTAACAAGTGTCTTTCAACCTGGCTGTCTTGGTTATCATGCAATGCTTGCGCCAGCTTTGAAGCCCTCACATACCTAGAAGCTCCCGTTGACTTCAATGTCGGAAAACAGCAACCTTTCGCACTTCCCCAGAGGGTCAAACAGCTTAGCTGGCACGAAGCTAATCACAACAGTGTCCCTGCCACAATGCACTGGCAACATTCAGCAGCCCACACACAGCGCAGCCCGTCCCGTGCATTGCAGCCCAGCAGGAAGCCCGAGGTCGACGAAAGAGTCGAGGACTTTCCGAAAGTCGACGAGAACGTTGAGGACTTTCCGAAACGGTTCGACGCCTTGAGCGACATGCTGCCATCGGCTGAGAGGTGCCCTGGAAGCTCTGCTTAGCAGAGCCAGGGGCTCTAAGCCCTGGCTTGGGAGTAGCTTTGAGCCCAGAAAACCATGGAATGGCTCACACGTCACCGACTGCACAGCAGAGTGCACTGTCGCATGGGCGCCGCTTGCAATTAATCCACTGCCCGGTCATTTCTGGGTCGCTTCTGGGCCGCGATTCAAAGCTAAGGCGGTTTATTGATGCAGACGGAAGCGAGGTGGAAGCGGGGATTAGGGAGCACGTCGGGTCCGTCGCCTCTGATGTCTGATGTCGCAAGACCCGTTGTTAAGTCCCATATAGTCCCCGAGCCCTACTCAGATACCTCTTCACGAAAGCTTGGCTCTGCATGTTCTCGAAAATTCCTACTTGCCCTGGCGCAGGTGGGAGGAAAGATCGCCTCTCTCTGTTAGGATTTGTAGATCTTGGGCTTAGAAGTTTACCATTCACGTGAAGAACACAGATCAGGATATCCCTCTTGCGCCAAGGCAGCTATGGCAGCTTCTACTCAGATGCCTGTTGTGCGAGCGCGAAAACTCGGGCAATTTCCTCGCGCAGAACGACCAAGCTCGTGCAATCGAAGCGTGTCGGATTTGGAGTGTGCTCTTCTAGTTCGGCTACCTTTCTTTCTCGGTTTTTCTTTGCATGCCCTGTCTCCCGTCCAAGAGGGCCATTGGAATTCCAAAGCCACAGCATGTGGGGTCCTTTGTCGGCACGCCCCCTTTCTTGGCCGCGTCACGTGCCACCTTGATCTTTGCAGGATCGCCGGACCTGAAAATGTGCACTCACGACTTAGGATGGAGAGTCTAGGCCAGGATCTGGCGAAAAGCTGGGGCTCTTGATATGCGGCTTAAAATGGTCGGCTTGCGCGGTGGATCTCTAAAACAAGCCGTGGAACTAGGACAGTAGGACTCGTAACGGGCAGAAGGAGATTTCTGAAGGAGTGCAAGTTTAAGGCCAGCCATCAGCCCAAACTCTTCGCCATCATCATCGTCACCCTCGTCCACTTCCTCCCCTCATCACCAACATCACCATCATCATCGGTGAATCTTCTTCATCATGATGTGCCGGAGCCGAGATACTCGATGTCCGCTTTGATGATGATGGTGGTGGTGACCATGGTGAAGAAGATAAAGATAATGATACCGAAAGCGAATGGGAGAAGACTTAATGGCGATGCCAGTGGTGATGACGGCCATGATGACGGTAGTGGATGCTCACTACGGCGGAGTACGAAGAAAATCGACGGCATCAGGTCCGCGCGCTGCTGCATCTGCAAAGGCATCCAAGAGTCGTTCCTGCACTGGGCTGTCTTCGAAAACATTGGTGCGAAACCGCTCATGGCCAGATGGCACTGCATTTGCCAGTCGGCGCGTGGCACCCAGATCGGGCATCACATCCCAAGCGCAGCTGCAAGAGAGGGAGAGGAGAGAGAGAGAGAGAGAGAGAGAGAGAGAGAGAGAGAGAGAGAGAGAGAGAGAGAGAGAGAGAGAGAGAAAAAAAACACTTCCAGGCCTGCTCCGCAGCGAGCTGCACGGCAGCGACTTTCGCCTGCATGACCCATGCGGGGGCGCATTGGCTGTTGAAAGTCAGTGTCGCAACACATCCTGCCAAGCAAGGAACTTGCTTCCGACTCCAACGGCAGGGCGCATTTCTGCTGAAGCCAATTCTCACTTCACGCAGATGTGCTCGATCTCGCAGTGCATTAGGCGGTCTACGAAATCTCAGAAGCTGCCGGCACGGACTGCCGAGACGAGCATGGTTTTCAAGAGAACCAGATTTTCATTCAAGCTCTTCGCGGTCTCAGTTGTGGGAATCCGGAGGCATCAAGCTTCAGGCTTCGGGTTGGATCGCCTGGAGGGGGTGTTGACACCAAGAGAAAGTGTCTTAGAACAAGTAGCTCCCTGAACAGGGGGAAACCACGACACAAGGCCTGACTGAGTTTCCATGAGTGGTGATGGTTGGAGGAAGTATGGCTCTTGTACACCTAACTCTGCAACACCTCTCTATCCATGCCAGCAGTCGGAGATTGAAAACTCCTAGGCTTTGGCCAAGAGCTGGTATGCTGTTGGCAATTCGCTTGGGCATGTAACTTGGGCCTTCCTCCACATGACGGCCCTAGGACAAGGCCCTCTATTCTGCCTAGAAGTGCGGCCGGGAGTTTCAAGGATAGCTCGCAGCTGAAACCACGACAGTACATATGCGGTGGATCGCAAGAGCATTCCAAAACAGAAAGTAGTCCCACTCTGGTGTTCTGAGAAGGATATAAAAGCAGCAGTAACAGGAAGCAGATTTGCTCACTGAATGATTTAGCTGCTGATTCGCAGTCGCGAGTTGCGATAACAAGCAATCTACATGGGCCTTGACACCTACTACATCATTGCCGACATCCTTGCTACTATAGCCACATACACACTGCATATGCGGATCGTAGATTGAGCTACTGCTGCATTATCGTTGGGACCTCTTTCATGCAGAGCCAGGCCGAGGCATGCCTTATGCTCACAAGCTTGCAGCCCAAGAAGGCTGCAGTGGTTCGGGGGAGAAGCGCTCTGCTTAGACTGAGATCGCTTTTTGTTTGGGGCAGTATATGATGGGCTATGAAATGCTTCTTGCAGATGCTCCCGTCACATCCCGGATTTTCACAGCATCGCGAAAATCATTTGCAAACCTGCCCTACAAGAAAAGCCATCTCATCCTGAGTGACTCTCTTTCCAGTTGCCGGATACGGCTGTGGTGGGAATCCAGCCTCGCAGGGCACGGCAACAATACTCTGAAAGCATACTTGTGGACAGGGGTGGACTGCTTGGTATCTGCCATGTCTCAGTTGGGCTTGGGCGTGGACGACGACACGCTGGAAAGTGTTCTAAAGCACCCATACGCTGCTTGCTCCCTCCGAACCTTCACGGCCGTTGAACGAAGCCCACAGGTAGCCACCATCGCCGAGATCCTCCGATCCTGGCGGTGCTCTGCTTAGAATTCCGGACAACCCGAGGCCTGAATCTTCCATTCCCGGTCATGACCATTAGCCCGATCTCCCCGAAAGGCTCGGGTCCTTGATATAGGACTCGAACTGCATCTCCGGATCGCAGCGGCCACAAGGAGACCTGCCAAAGATCCGGGATGAGGCTTTGAGCACGAGGAGCACCAACTTGCTACTGTAGCTGCTGGAGACTTGCTGCTGCTACTGCTGCCCCGCTGCATCTCCTCCTCCTCCTCCTCCTCCTCCTCCTCCTAAACCACTCCTTCTCCTACAAGCACTCCTGCTACTGCCACTGCTCCTGCTGCCACCACCGCTGCTACCGGACTTTCGCTCACACTACTACTAGCACTCCAATCGGCTCCAGCGTCCTGGTACTCAGAATCAAGCTATTACCAGCATGATTGATAGCGCTTCGAGGTTTGCTTCCAAGCATCAGCGCAAGGCTTCTCGGGATTTTGAGGAAAACCGAAGTCTTACTTACGGTTCTTCTCAATGGCATAAGCTGGCATCAGAGTTCGCACTGAAGCACTGTATGCACTACTAGCAATGATGTTGATGATTTGCTGGTCTTACTTCTGTGCGAAGTGGCTTGCCCATTGCAAGCAGTCTTTGCTGCAATGCTTCCGCTCATCCTATCTTCTTCGCAACATCTTCCTGCGATTCAAAGCCGACGCAACTTTGAACCCTTGACCCTGGGCCTCGGCCCCTAAGCTCTCGGGCTCCAGAACGTCCCGCACTACGAAAGCCAAGGTGCCCCTGCAGCCGGAACAGCTGTTTTGGGCGTCTCTGTCTGTTCGCGACTAGATTCGACTCTGAACAGTCGGGACATTCTCGGACACGAGATGCACAAGGAGGCCCTCTTCAGGATTCTTTATAAGGAACTTTGGTCAAGAGGAGTAGCGAACCAATTTCGGCCGACATGTCTACCCGCCTTCTGCCAGGCGCCTCTTGTGGTTTCATCTTCGAAGGTTACTTGGTATCTGATTCTTCCCCTTGCTACACTCCAAGCTGGACCCATTGGTACAGCTAAGGATGCCATCTGACCAAGGATGGAGCTTTCTGTGCAGGGTGGCCTGGAGCCCGATCAAAAAAACCCACACGACAGCCAGCTGGCTGCCTTGCAAAACCTCAAACCCCTTGCAATCCGCTCTCACTAGTGACTAACTAGGCCCTGCAAACAGCCAGTCCAGCAGCGCGAGGCCTACTTCGCTTTGAGTTTGGGCTCGTCGGCCTCTCGCCTGCGCTGACATGCAGTATATGGCATGCTTCAGTGCTTCAGAACTCACCGAGACCCAACAGAAAGATTGAATAGTTGCATGAATACTTCCACACTTCAGTCAAAGTATACATACACACAAGAAGATGCTCTGAAAAACATCGAGCGTACTACCGAAACGTAGCCGGAGGAGAGGGCCTTCTTTAGGCAGGTCGAAGAGGCTCCGGAGTTCCTTCTCGCGGCTCTGCCTAGGAGCGTCCCTTTGGATGCCATCAGAGCCTTGGGAGTCTCGAAAACCTTGGCTCTCCATGTTTTATGGTACCCAAAGACTTTATGAAGACGTATCTAACATAGACTATACTTAAGACCAGAAGAGATCTTAGCCAGTTTTGCAGTTGCCACCTGGAAACCTTTGCCAGGCTTGCCTGCAGACTTGCCGGACTTGCCTTTCCCACCCTTCTCACCCTTCCCCTTGCCCTCCTCGTGTCGGCGAGGGCGCGGAGCCTGCCAGGAGTTGCAGCTTTCTCTGTCGAGCTGTTGGTCAATCTGGAAGAGGTGCACTACCGGGCCAGCCGGGAAGCCATTGTATTCCGGATAAAGCTGGCTGCAATGTTTCTGATCGCAGCCCAAGCCGGAGAGCGCCTCACAAAAGAGGTGGGTGGTGCTATCCGGTGCACGAGTACCCCCCGCTCGGAGGCCAACAAAGTTTGCCCAAGGATCTTCATCGCCCTCCCCGCTTCCCAGAGTCTGACGGATCTTCAAGAGCTCCGCCTCGGTCTTCCGAAGGAAGTTCCGCACGAAGCTGGGCCGGCCATCCCCAATGCGATTGTATCCCAGGCGCAGCCAGAGGGGCACCTTCTTGCTGTCACGCAAGGCAGGGTATCGGACAGCCGTGGTGGTGGCACCTGCCTCGAGCTCTAAGGGGGACTGCATGGCTCTCACTGCAGCTTCGAGCAGGGTGCGTGCTCCGGGCTCCGTAATCTGGTTATTGGTGAGGCTGAGCTCGTACAAGGTGTGTGGCGAGTCTTGCAGGAACTGGGCCAAGGCATCAGCGGCCTCATCTGCCAGCTGGTTGTGGTGCAGACTCAGCGCCTCCACCGGCACTTCAAGCTCTCGCAGCATCGTCAGAAGAGTTTGCAGGCCTTGGGCGGTGACTTTGTTGTAGCCCAGGTCCATCACAGTTATCACTGCGTTGGCGGGAAACCGGGCGAGCTTCGGGCGAGCCCAACGGCACCAAAGCTCCACGGCCTTGTCGTCTATGTTTCGGCGAGAGAGCAAAACCTTGTACTGCCGGCCGTCATGTAGCTCCTGTTGAAGGGATCCTTGCCAGGAGCTTGTGACCGCCCTGCTTGGGTAAGAGGACCTCTCCACGCCTTTGCCTTCTCCCTTAGCCATGTCGTAGACCCGAAGGCCTCGGCTGCTGCTGGCAGCTTGCGCTCGCCGCCGCTGGAGCTCTGCTTCTGCCTGCTGCCAGAGATCATCAAGGCCAAGGCTACCTTCCTCCGGGAGGACAGGTTGCTCTGCTCTCTCCCTTTTGGGGAGACAAGGCTCCGTGCTGGCTGGTGGCCGCCTAGAAACCTCCACATCGCGGGCGGATGCCTTGATTTCTCGTGCACCACGGATCCTGTTGTAGCGGTCCCATGATCTTTGGCCACGCTCCTCCTCCACTTTCTTCCACAAATCCAGATCGTCACAAGGCTTTCCGCTCGCTTCCTCCGGAGTCCGCTCAGGATCCATCTCCGGTCCGCCTACTTCGCCCAGCTCCGCCATGGGCCACCGAGAGGGCTCCTTTATGCAATCCCTTTATGCAGTGGCCTGTCTGAAAGATGGGTTCCGATGGCTTCAGGTCATCCTGAATTCCGGCCGTCCCCTCGCCAAAGCTACGTGGCACTTCCGTGGATTGTTCGGATGTTGACTGCGGTTGCCTGATACCCTTCACTCAACAAGCCAAACTGGCCGGCATGCACACACACACACACACATTGGAAAATGCCAGAAAACATACTTCAGCAGGCAGAATGGCAGCTGACTGATGCACGCAGGACGAAAACCAAGTAACCCCCAATCCATAACAAGTACAAAATGCACAAGATACAGGCGCCACTCCAGACCTCACCATTGCCAGGAGTCAAATGACCACTTCCCCTCGTTTTGTCGCATGCTTCTCAACCGCTCTCGGGCTCGGGCCTCTTCTGCCTCTTTGGCTCGCTTCGCTTCTTCTTCTCGCTGCCGTCTCCGCTCCTGCTCCTGCTGGGCTCGCTTGAAGTCAACACCCTGAACCAGATAGAAATCTCAGCAGCAAACTTCCCCGAGCCTCCTGGACTCTCCGAATCTCCTCTTGTCTTTTGCGCTGCTCCTCCTCAGCTGACTGTTGGACACGTTCACTTCCCGAGCTATTCGCTTGACTCACGCAGCTCAGCAACGCAGCGCAGACAGAAGAGCGAAGAAGGATCGCAACACGCAGGCAGCTGCCTCGGCCTGCTTCCGCCTCCTGTCCTCCTCCTGGGAGACATCACCCCAAATTCCGGCCTACGCGTGCCTTCTCCCTTTAGTGTAGGAGCCTTGCAGCAAATCATTAGAATACTAAGGTTCACAGGATATGTATCGTAACACAAGTCCGGGAGTACAAAGCTCTCGATTGACGAGGAGTTGGAGGCGAAAGAGGGAAGCGCCCGGCCTGGCGTCTCTTGTCTTCAAGCCTGGGCTCTTGAGCTGAGCTTTCTTCGGTATCAACATTGTGGAAACGTTTTCTTGAGGGCTTTGGGGCTTTGGGGTCTAAGGCTGCATCTTTTGCCGTGTCGATTGCTGTTCTTCCTCATATGCGCTGCGTACGGCCGCACTCCCCACAAAATCCAGACTCGCGTCGGTGGTTAGGGGCACCAGCCTGTTGCAACCTCAGCCTCATGAGCCAGTGAAGACCGAAGTAGCGGCCTATATCCCGATCCTTTCAAGGTAGGATCTGAGGATCTGCTGCCAGCATACTACGACTTTACATGTTGTTCTCCAAGCTCCGGCCCCTGACCTGCACGGGGAAACCTGAACAGCCAAACTTGAAAATCTGAAACCCCGAGCCTCAAAGCATCATCTCAAGCCCTTCGCCCCAAACCGAGAGATTCAGGTTGTCGCACAGGGCGAACGAAACCCGGCGGGCGAGCCCATCAGACCTGGAGCCCTCGCGCTTGAACAGATCAAGGGTTTGTTGCCTCAGCAGGGCCTCACCGAAACTTGGATGAGACACCAAACCATGATAAGCTGGGCTCTTTCGCCTTACTGCTCCAAGCATCAAGGCACCCCCTCCTTGGGAAAACTTGACTCCCTCAACCCCCCCCCCCTCAGCTGACCCTTACTTGCCCGTGTAATTACTCTCGCGGCCGAAGAACTCTCGAGCTCTTTGAGCTTCCGCTGCTCTCCTTCGGGAGAGTGTCGGAGTCGGGGAGGGAGACTCGTCTCTCTTCCGAAGCAGGCGATGATGGTGAAGACTAAGGTGATGCTGAAGATGCTGATGTTAACCGCTGTCATCATGGTCACCGATTCTTGGCTACACAGTTGGTGGACTGTTTGATCCATTGACGGCTTGCTGCTGTTGATGTTGGTGCAGTTGTGACCACTGCGGCGGTGGCGGCGGTGGCGGCGGTGGCGGTGGTGGTTGTGGTGGTTGTGGTGTTTGTGGCGATTGTGGTGGTGGTCGGGGGGGCGGTGGTTGTGGTGGTTGCTGCTGCTATGCGTAAAGAGAGACTTGTCACTTTATGTTCAACGATCTAATTCTGAGATGTTTTGCATGGCAAGAACTCGCTCCTCTGTTCCGCTTTTTGCTGCTCCACATCCGCAGTAGGACCTTCTCAGCAAGCGGTGAGCATGTTCATGTAGATTTCGCCGCGCTCCCTGAAGCGATATTCTGTTCAATCAGCGTATCTGAGTAGTTCTGATCAGCGGCCCAGCGCGTGACGGATGATGTATGGCTCGGAATTCAGGGTACGAGGGCTTGGAAGAACGTCGGGGGAGTTGTGCAGTGAAAGAAGAGCCCACCACATCGCCTTCGACCTTCGACTCGCACCTCCCTCAGCAGCAGCGGTGGGATAGATTCATCTCTGTATCTCAACCATTCTCAACCTGCTTTTCTCTCAAGTTCAGCCCTGATCTGCTCGGCTCAACTCTGCGAGGCCGCGGCGCTCCGGCTGGGACGAGGGCCTTTCCAAGGAGAGAGGCCCATGTAAAAACTTCGGAAGCCATGAATCGCAAGGCCTCGAAAGGCCCAGGCAGATGCTGACTTAGCCAACCGAGTCTGCTTTTTCAAAAATTCAAAGGCAGCAATGCTAGTCAGTGGAACGACCAACCCTCGCGCCCGGAATTCGCCACTCTTCCCATATGCCAGCGGCTCCGTGTTCGCATCATCTCATCAGCGAAATTGCACGAATTGACATACAAACCTGTCCTGAAGTTCTGAAGTCAACTCGACCTCGAGCTGAAGCTGTCCGCTGTCCTGAAATATGATCGCGATAAGAAACATTCTGGTTCCTCTTATATGCAGTACCAAAACACTGGCTCTGAAAAGAATCCCTCGTCTGGAACCCCGCTTATTGAATTTCTCAGCCCTTACCTACTGTACACCCGAATCCGGAAACCTAATCCCCAAAACCTGAACTGTAATCCCCAAACTACGGCAAAAACCCTAAGCTTTAAGCCAAACCCAAAGCTGAACATCCAAAGCGTGCCTACGGAGATCCGAAGGAGCAGCCTTGAGCAGGGCTTGCAAAGGAAGCTTAACGAAGGCTACGTCTCGAAGGCTCTCGGCAGGAAGTGCAAGTGTTGAAGCCTGGCAACCCTCATCGTGAGTCTTGGATCCTATGCTGTGCTCAGGTTTGCGCTGTGAAGGACGAGTAGACCAGTATCCGGCGGCAAATCTACTGACTGGGATAGAAACCCCCGGCGCCCGAACTGGAAACTCATAGGTTTTATTTTCCTTCAATCACAGAAGCACGGGCAAGTTTCGGCAACTTTCGTTTGACTGTGTCATCGGAGCTTCCGACCAACAATCATAAGGCTTCGAGTGGTGAACCGAATGCACCCTAATAAGCCCACAAAGCTGCAAGTGCAAAAAACAGTGCCTGGGACGCTCGGTGTCTCTCCAAGGTGTCTTGGACCACCTGGCTGCACGTGGCCTGTTGACTCCCCTGCTGCGATGTGCAAGACTGTTGATGCTTTCTTGAGCAGTCCATGATGTACAGATGTGTCGAGTTCGACTTGTAGAGGCTTGAGGCAAGGAGCCTCCTGCTAAAGACTTCAATGTGGTCAAGCCAAAAGCCAAGGCAGTGAGAGTAGTCGTATGCGCTAGGCAGATGTTAACTGACATTGTGCACTTCAGCATGTTCGTCATTTTGCAGGTAATTATGGTTGGCGCCGTGCCCATTCCCGAAGTTTTCCCTCTGCATCTATCCATCTTGGAAACTTCAGGAAACAGCTGCTGGCCGCCTGGTCCATGCTGGCGAAACCTTCGTCTGGGCCGTCCTGAGGAACCGCCTCCAAGCATCGCACTATTTGGAGCAACATAGGCGAAATCACACATACACACAGACATACATATGTACATATATGTGCATGTACAAAAGTATCTACATTTACATGCATATTCATATTTACATCTTGATACGAAATCGCGGCTTGCCCTCCGCTCCGCGTAGTCATTCATATGTATCTGTCGACTGTTGATTCGTAGCTTATCCTGCTGCTGAACACCGATGGTCTGGTTGCCATGGGGTCGCAGTCCGGTAACTGCTGCAGCCCTCCAAGATGCTATCCTCTTTTTAAAGGTCGGCAGTCTGCCCTCAACAGACATCAGGCACTTGGAGCCACCAGTGGCCTGGCCTTGTCGAAGGCCGGCTGAAGCAGGACGCCGTGCTGTGGATGTCTGCCTGGCAATTGCTGTCGCAAATGTGTGCATGCTGTAGCAGGCCGCTGACTCTCAGTTGTGCTGTCAACCACGACCGAGCGACTCAACATCCATCCGCCGTCTCCCTCCAATCTTATCCATCCGGAATACGTCTGGGACCTGAGCTTCTGACACTGTCCCCAACACATTCTGCGACCGAAGAGTTCCGACTGTATACTTTCCACAGCGAAGCAGAATCCGAGGGTGCAGCTCGGCCAATACGACCTGCCGCCACCCAAAAGTGCATTCAAGGGCTGCAAAGGAGGCAACATGTAGCTTCTGCGTCCTTGAGTAAGGGCCCCATCGGTAAGATTGCAGTGGCCGCCAGTGGCCGTGGTAGCAGTGGCCAATAGAGGACGGAAGGAATTTAACATGCTAAGAGTTCCTCCTATAACGTCCGACTCCACAGGTGAACGCCAATCTTCAGGTGCATAACATACATGGACGGGAGTCGTAGTCTTGGTTGTAGGTAGTGAGAAGTAGAAATAGCGCCGGCAGCGGCGGCAGTAGCAACAGTGCTACGAGGACGGCGACGACGACCGCTGCTACAGTCACTCTTGCTGCCTTGTTCTCCTTCTCTAAATGAGGCTCTGCCTCATCCTATTAAGCTCTCTTGCGAGTTTCCTTCACAGACAGAGCCTCTCCCACACGGCGAGCGCTGATGATGTTGGCATCGGTGGAGGGCGCTGCACGCACTGCTACGCTTGGACTGAAGGTCACCTGAGCAAGGCTTAAGAATTTGGGTGCCCTCGCATTCCGGGTGTGTTGTCAGGGGAGTATCTGGAGCAGAAGCAAGCAGGGGGACGGCGCGTCTGTGCTAACTCATCAACTCACCAGAATCGCAGCTTCTCCAAGCCTAAGGCGAGCTGCTTGCAAAAACCACCCCATCCTCTCCACCCACAGATTGACATAAAGCAGGCCCTGAAGCCTGAAGCTTCATTGATTGCACCCCAAACCCATCTGCATCAAGAGCTGTGAACCCTAAACCCCAGAACCCTAAAACTCGGGTCCTCACCTTGAAATGCTGCGGCCCGGATCCCGGGGCCGGGAAGTCGGCGGCCAAGACCATTTCCTGCTGGCCGGGCAGGCGCCGAAGGAGCCTGGAGACGGTTTGAGTTTCGGGGATTTAGGGTTTTCAGGGAAAGCGTTGGTCTCAGGGCCTGAGGTTTGCAGAATTTGAATGCTGGGGCTTTGGAGCCTAGCACAGTGCTCTTGTAAAGCAAATTTGGATGATACAATTGGGGAATGTTAGTGGTCTGGAGTTCCAGGTGCCGACGACTCTGCGCAAACTCACGCCCCAAGAGAAGCTTTCAGGGTATCATGGAGGGGAACCAGAACCAAGTCTGTAGCAGACCCCGGGGCCCCCACGTACCAAGGCCCAGCTTGCCCTGGCAGTCCTGCACAATCTGCGAGTGTGATCGGAGTTAACCGGCTCTGTCTGGGATACAACCCGAAAGCAAGCCTCCTGGGTTTCGGGTGCCTTAAGCTTTCCCCTAAGGCAGCCCCGGCAACATCAGGTCAATCTTGCTCCCAGCCTTGGCACACCAGCCCTCCTGGCCATAGGATGCTTCTGAGGAGACTTCGTGCGCAGGTCAAGCAGTAATCCTTACCTAGAAGGGTTGAGCCTGGCTGGTTTGGGATCAAAACGGCACTAAGTGCAGGAGCACAGGTCACTGTGGAGCCTTGAGGGGAATGAAATTGTTAACGGCGGTAGGCCAATGGTCGCGCTTAAACTCGGATTTCGCTGCGTCTATCAACTCGCAACAGACAAGTCCTGCCAACGACGCGTATGTGTTGTGGCACGCTTGGCTGGTGCAGGTTGCACCAAATGGCGACATGTTGCGGGAGCGATACACAAGCTTGGGCGAGGTACGGGGACTTGGCTCCGGAAGAACCCAAGCGTGTGCTTGCAAGGTACATGATGATTAACGTCGTCATCACCCTACACGGAGCACCACAACGCCTACTGCAAGGGACCTCGCCGTGGAGCTTGAGGAAGCCATCGAAGGTCTCCTCCGCGCTCTGCACGATCTCGCCTCGATCCTGGTCGCAGAGACTTTCCTCCTAATCCGAACCGTGAAGCAATGAAGCTACCCCCGATTTCACGAACCGCCGAAGGTCCGCAAGTAGTAGCTGTAGCAAGGCTTTCGCTGCAAGGCGGGCCTTCCGTGCCAGCGCACGAGCAGCGAGCGACGGCTTCTCTCGAACCATCGCAAGGTCGTGCACGACCTCCACGGAGTTTGAGGACTTCGCCGATGGTACTTCTGACAAACTCACCGATGACTTCCCACAGCCGCAGGAAGGTCGCCATGTTCACTGCCGGAAGACAAACATGCGCATGCATTGTGTCCGATTCTGAACGGTTCCTGACGTCTTGGACTACCAGCGGACCAGCGTCTCTAAACTTTCCACACTAGGTAGATCGTCAGGGCCTGATGTCACGAAGACCGCAGCAGCTTTCCCTCAGAAGCAACCTGCCTCCCAACGCTGCACCGGCAAGTTTTGCGGATTCTTCTCGATCTGGGGCTTTGGTGGCTCCTTCCCACAGGATGCTCCACAAATCGCCACGCCTAGTGCCAGAACATGCAGCGCATCCTTGGTCTGTCATCGTCTTACATCGGGCTCTTCACCAGAGAGGCCCTATGAAAAGATTCACCGACACGGAGCCATGGAGTCGGTCCTCCAGGTCGACGCGCTGCCTTAGCGCCGCGACGGTGTCCGTGGCGAAGATCTTCTGACCTGCGCTGCGCAGCCTGCAGTAGCCACGAAAGAAACGGGGTCGAGCCTTTGGTGCGGGTTGGAACCGTTGGGGTGATCTGGGCGCCGGGGTGTCCAGCACGAACATTTAGGACCTGACCTAATCCATACAAAGGTTTAGAGTTTGGGCATTGGTTTCTCGAGTTAGAGTTTGGAACATTTGGTTGAATGCGGACTCTGTCGTTGCTGTATGCAATCCCTCTCATAACCGATGCGTGCATAGAGTGGAAGGCCAACTTGCAGAAACTTGGACCACAGAACAAACCCCCATCAAACCTCAAAGCCTGTGGAGGTGCTGATGTCTTGGCCTGAATCTCCCTTATGACCATTTGGCACGATAACCGCTTGCACTTAAATCACAGATATATGCCGGGGGAGAAGAGAGCTTGCAAAAGCACACACATCTGTGCTCGCAAGGTAGAGCAGTGTCTCTTCTCCTCCTGACCTCGGCACTCGTTCCTCACTTAAGTGAGGGTCAAGTCGGCACATCCGGGTGCAGGCAGCACTTGTAAGTTTAGCCTTGGCGGCTGTGCTTGGGAGGTGGGCTCTTGAACCCCCGCCTGCAAAGCCACATCTCTAGCAACACCAGGGCACCAATCCAGATGTCCTGGTTCAAACAATTAAAGCCGGCACCCCAAGACATCGCTTCAAGGGGGCGCGAGACCACACCAAACAGAGAAATGACAAGATTGAATCCGCGCCAGACGGATAGTTTGAATTTTCGGCTCCCGATGCCGAGGCAACCTGCTCTCTTGGCAAGGACAACCAGGCACCAAGCTGCAAGAGCCAACACAAGGAGCATGGAAATAACCGCAAAGTCGTTTTCTGCGGTCTTGTCCCAAAACGAATACGTTGTCTTGCACGAGTCTCTGCAAGTCAAATCATAAAAAATTGTAGCCGACACTGCAATGACTAAATGAAAGGTGACCACAAACAAATGCAGCAGCGAAAACATCATTTGCCAAAAGACTGAACTCTCGGAGTTCTCTGGTTTCTTATGTGTTCCGAGCCGAAGCTTGTCGAACCAAGCCTCAGCCAGAAACTCCACTTCCAGCAATGCCTGATCTAGCAGCTCCCATCCTGAAGCCTCGACCTCATTGCCGTCTAGGTCCAGTTCACTCAGCGGTCGCGATTCCATCGCTGCTCGCCGGAGCACATCGGCGAAGGCCCCTGCGCCCCGATCTGCAATCTTGTTGCGACGGAGCGAGAGTCGCTTCAGCCTGCTACCTTCCAGCAAGGCTCGAGCCAACGCGGTAGCGCCATTACAATCTATCTGGTTTTTCGAAAGGTCCAGGACCTTGATCTGGCTCTGTGATGTCAGACCTCTGGACAATGCCTCTACGTGCTCACTGCGAAGCGCGCATGATGTACACATGAGGTGTGTGAGCTGCTGACTGCCCTGCAAGCCTCCGGCTAAAGCTGTCATCGCGGCGCACGAGATCGAGCAGTGCGACAACGTGAGCTTCTTCATGTTCAGCGCCTTGGCTAGCTCCTCAGCAGCATCTGCTTCGATCTGGCTGCCGACGATCTTCAGAACCTGGGCCCATCATCCAAGGGTCCCGGGGCCGTCACAAGAGGACCTAGCAGGACTCTCAAGCACTCCCCAGTTTCTTAAGCCTTAAGCATCTCGCGCCTGCAACCTGCTGTAGAAGGGAAGGGCGAGGCCAAGCATGACGGTCTGGCTTGCAGACAAGCCCGTTCGACTCAGGACCTCCAAGTTTGCGGCCTTGGCGAGAAAGACTCGCCTTTGCAAATTCATGACATCTTTGGAGTTGTCTGCATGGGTGAACCTGAGCTCATTACGTTCAACTTGTCTTTGGAAAACGTCAGGCGGCATGGGGGCTCTGCAATAGTCAGACAAAGCCCGCGAATGCTCATGAAAATCGAGAGCGACCGTCTGCGATGCCTGGCCCCGCATGCAGGACCACTGCATCTCCGCCTCGCACCAGCCACGTTCGAAGTAGGGTGTGCTGTTCCGCTTCAGATCCTTGATCGGCACCTCCTGCATTTGTCCAGCTTCCCCGTCTCCATCCGGGGCATAGAAGACTTCAATCTTGTGTGTGGTGTCGAAGGCTCTCGCAGGCGAAAGCTTGGTGATGAAGTAGGTGTGAGTGTACTCATGGGCATAGAAGTAGTGCATCCTCGCCATGGCTCGATCGAAACATTGCTGCTGATAACTCTCTGCGCTGCCACGGTAGAATTGGTAGATCGACATGTAGTCGAAGAAATACCACGACCACTCCTGCTGCCAAGAAGATCCGAGCTTAACGGCATGTAAACCCCTTCGGCTCCTAGTTCTTTATCGCATACAACAAACAAACATCCACCTCCCGGACTGCACTTGGATGACCCCGGGGTATGACTCTTGTGGTTCACTACCGGCTGCAAGGCCTATACAGCCCACTGTGGCATGACTCTCGCTCCTGCGGCCAAAGACGAGAATCCGCGAGGATGGCCACCTGGTGCCCTGCAGGATCCGGATGCTCCATCGTTTCCCAGACGTGTGACACACCAATGATCCGCACCTTTTGGCGGAAGTCTGCATCCGTCCTCCACCTGACCAAGAAAATAAGGACGCTTTGGAGCTTGGGGGCACCGCGGGGTTTCGACCATGCGGCCCATGGGGGTCCCACTGCACCTGATCAGCTCGTCGTGTGTGACCAGTGCATCCTCTCCTGCTCGACCTCTTGCCGCCTGACTGCTGGCCGCTGCTCCTGGTGAAGCTTCCTCAGGAAAGTGCCGCGGACCAAGCGCACATTGATCTGGGGATCCAGGAGTAGATCAGCCAGTGCGAGGGGATCGTCGAGGTCCGAACTTTCCGTGCCAATTTCTGAGAGATTGGACGTCTCTGCGCATGCCTCGAGGTCTGCGGTTCCCACGTCTGTGCTGCCTTCTCCAGGGCCTGAAAGGAGCAACGGAGTGCGGGCAACACGAGGGCTCGCTGCTTCCCCATTGCGTGGCCGAACGAGCTCAAGGCACATGGCAGCAAAGCCCATGTTGACAAAAGAGGTCTTTTGCCTCGGCAGCAGACTTCATGCAGTTTCCTGTCTGACCCGCCTGCAGCCAAGAGAGCAAAGCACGGCGAGTCTCATCCAAAAAGTCTCCCCGAGGCCGGAGAGCCCTAAATCCTAAACTCCGAAAGACAGTCCCAAATCCTCGCTATGCTCTCTGCGGTCACGCAGCTGTTGCAGCACCCCGTATTGCAAAGACATCGTCACGCAACTTCCCACCGCATACCTTAGCAGGATGCCTTCGAAACCTGAACTACCGACGGCGAAACTCGAGAAGGTGGCGTCACAGTTCCCATTGCCTCTCGTTCAAGGAGGCGGCGCCCTCAGCTGCAGGGGTGCAGTGATGCAGAAGAAGTCAGACTTTCCCAGCCGCAAATTTCCAGCAGCGGAGCATTCCCTTTCGAAGACGACGAGAGCGTCGCGAGTCCGATTTCTCAACCAAGCTGACTTTGCAGTCAGCGGTCCTGGCTACGCTTCAGTCTCAACGACTTTGACCTTGAGAGGAAGATTGGCACCCTCAAGTGTCGGCTCGCATCTCGACATTCAGCCGAACCATGACTTAGCGTTAGGGCATTACAGTGCAACCCCCAAGCACGACTCAGCCAAAGGCAGTACTTCGTAGAGCATCTCGCAATTGCTCGAAGTTGGAAACCTCATGGCATCTCGTGGTGGCACACTCTTCTCGGTTGGTGTATCGCATGAGCACCCAAGGACTAAACTGCCGTGGTACAGCATTCAGGAAAGAATGGAGTAGAAGATCTCTTGTTGGTTGTCTCCTGGGTTTCGCAAAGATTAACCTCTCTGCTATGATATTCATAGAGTCATAGAACCGAAGTACAACTTCTCTGTTCAAGCAGACTGATTCCTGATTGCCCCTATGGCCTTTCAATCTCTAATTCCCGAAGCGACGCTCACAACAGGACCCCAAGCCCTAAACGTCCGCAAGAGTTTCCCCGATCGCGAGCGCGCAAAGGCCGCACTGGTAACAGTAGAAGTGGTAGCACCAGCTCTCCATCCAAACAATGATGCTTCGGATCCGTGAGTTCTTGACACAGAGCTATTAATCCTATGAACATGGGTTCTATCATTCAACCGAATGACAACAAGACTCCTCGATCTTTCATTAAATCCTTCAGTCGCCTGAGCTTTGGAGAGCTTCTCAACCACGTTGTTCAAGTCCTTCTCCGTCCAGTTCGGCTTGGCAGCCTGCTTCTGACAGGCCCGAGATCTGGAAGGGTCGGGTTTTGGGCCTCAGAACGTGGTACGTGGTACATGTTAGAAGCCGAAGTTCTTTGGTGTGAGGTTGTGAAGGGCAGGGTCTTTGGCCGGAAGAGATGCAGCCCATGGCAATCGACGACAACATAGCCCGAACAGAACGACATTCGCACGATACGGCATGGAACGACATCATAACCTGTGGCAACATCAATGGGCGCCTGCCTGGCTCGTGATATACAAGGGCTGAGTCTACGTAGGCAACACGCAAAGGCAGGTATGGTGCGCAATCTGAATTCTAAGTGTGAGCCGAGCGTGTGTGTGAGGTTCACACTGCGGGTGCTCCAATGAGCAATCAACCGCCGTCGTTCCCTCTACACGCATGCAGCGTTTCTTCTCCGCGTTCGGCTGCCGCAATCCGCCACCTCCCGCCTCCCAATGTCTCACTGATCCAATGAGCATTGTCTCCTTTACAGCCATAGCCAGAGTACAGTCCAGTGTGATACAGAAACCTAGTATCGTCAAAGATCATCTAAGACAGGGACAGATCGGCCGTGAGCCTGCAGCAGGTCCCGCAGCTTTGGCGGCGGCCGAACGGGCACAGGTGCTGATGCTGGCGCGGGGCGTGGGCCTCAGCATCCACTTCGGGCTCTTGTGCGGTCTGGGGTTATCTACAGGCATGGGAGGGACGAGATCGTCGTGTTGATGCTAAAGAGCCGCATCAAAACTCCAAACCAGCACCGGGGGTCCCAGGATCTCAGCCTCATGTCTGGGTGACGGGCGCGTTTGCGCAGGCGCCGGCGCCGCTGCAGCCGGAACAACGGTGGTCTTTGTCGCAGCTGGTGCTGCAGAAGCCGGTGCTGGTGCCTATCGTGGCAGGCCACTTGTGGGAACCGGCCAGTATGATGTCTTCTCAGGATGTGTTCTCCCTGAAATCACACTAAACCCTGAACCATGGGACCCCACCATTTTTTCACTGACGGAGCAGTGAACCATTGCTTGACACAGACCTGGCAATCACGCAACAAACGGTGCAGCTAGGACCAGGCAAAACAGCCACGTCTAAATGAACATGTCCTTGTGTGCGTGTGTGTGCTTGTGCGCGTGCGTTTGTATTTCTACGTGTGCGTGCAAGCTTGTATGTATGTATGTATGTATGTATGTATGTATGTACATATGTCTGTATGTATGAGTATGTATGAGTATGTATGTAGGTAGGTATATATGTATGTACACATCTCTGTCTCTCCATATACATATGTGTATACACACATAAGCCTGACTAGAACGTACATAGGCATCTCTCCCTCTCTCTCTGTCGCTCTCGCTCTCGCTCTCGCTCTCTCTCTCTCTCTCTCGCGCTCTCTCTCTCTCTCTCTCCCCCCCTCTCTCTCTCTCTCTCTCTCTCTCTCTCTCTCTCTCTCTCTCTCTCTCTCTCTCTCTCTCTCTCTCTCTCTGCATATATACACACACACACACACACGCACAAAGGACCAGCGATTCCGGCACATGAGTGAATCCAGATACATCCCGAAGCATGGCATCTTTTGATCTAGGAGGTTCGCGCTTGCAAAGCGGTTTCGGTGAGGAAGACACCGTAAACCATGAGAGACTGCTTCTGGGCTCTGTGTAGCTTAGACTAATCTCGTCCGAAGCCTTGGGCACTCGACTACTGCATCTAAATTCATCACGTGATTTTCTACTTGGCCGGCCTTCCCTGAAGTAGCAGGCGCGGCAGAAGCAGCGCCTGACATGCGGGAAGTCCATGGTTGTGTCTCCTTTATTGGCGTGGCTCAGATTGCAGTCTGGGCAACACTTCTCGATGCTTCTTCTGTTGTCACAAAAGAAGAAGCGGGTGCACAATGAACCCCCACCTCCTGCATGCCCTGAAACGACACCCGTCCCACATGTCCCCTCGTTGTGGCTACTGCGTCGTTTTCTGGGGTCTCAGTCCCGTCAATGAACGCCACACAAGAATCTTCCGGGTCATTCTTGCTTGCTATCAGGCACCGGCTTTCGGGAAGTCTCCCCACGGCCTGGTATCCTCTCCAAGTTTTTGGCCTTGCAGTCCAACAGCGGGTGGTGCAGAGCGCCGGGGCAGCGTGTATCAAAGGGTTTAGGGTTCAGGGGCTCGGGATGCATCTTGTTGTGCCATTTCTCCTCCTGAACGGTGGCTCTGAGACCAAAACGGCTTAGATTTCGGACTTCCCCGTCGTACCTTCATCAGCTTGTCTCCACCGCTATCGAGCCGAATGTGATACCTGCACAGGGCAAGCACTCATCACTGCGTTCGCTCAAGCCTCTTGGGCATCTATATTATATGATGTTAGCAAGCCAGGCGAATGTTGTCAAAACTTCAAGGAACGGGAAAACTATACTCCAATGAAAGGAACAATGAACAATACCACTATTCAAGGCCTGGCGAAAATCATTGTCATAAGGATCCACAGTTTGCAGGAGATAGTAGCTGACGACCGCTCAAGCACTGTTCAAGCATAAACCCGAAATTCATGTGGCTAAACCTTCTTTGTGCCGTCCGCTCACATCCATCTTGGTAGAACTGGCTCGTGCGAAACTTGTGGGTGCATAGAGCAGGCTCCCTCGGCGTTCGGCCCTGGAGCCAGCATCCAGTTCGCTGAAGCCTTGAGGAGCCTGCCTCGATTCGAGCTGCGCTCCGAGGAGGGCACCTGCAAGACTGCATCGACGTCGCCAGGGGCAGAGGGCGCGCGCGAAAGCTCTGGAGGAAGTCGAAACAGACCTGCGCAGGCTTGGCTTCTCGCCCACGGTCAGCGTCTCGCCATCCTTCAGGCCGCCTTGCGGTCGGTGCTCTGCGACAACCTCGCCGGCAGTTATGCGGTCGCCTGCGCTCCGTGCCAAAAGGAGAAGAGGGAGCCTGTCTCCCACTGCTTTGCACTGACAGTCTGTCCAGAGAGCTCTTTGGAAGCCAGCTCACCGATCTGCGTGATTCTCTTCTGCAAGTTGCCCACCCTCCACTGCTGGCTGGCCTTTGTACTCAAAGCGCGGTGAAAGCTTTGGGGCAGAAGCAATGCTCGCACTGGAACGGGTCTCTCCGGTCGAAGCTGGCGACGGGCTGAAGGATCGGACCCGTCTGCCGCGGTGGCACAGCCGGACAATTATTCGGCATGTCTTCAAGTGCTCGGCCGGACAGGCAGCTCAAGTGCTCCACCACCACCAGTTTTTGGTCTGAAGCCTGGGCAGTGCGACAGGACAAGGGCAGGGGCTTTCACCAAACTTCAAAGCTCCTGGCCGATCTTCTCCCCCTGAACCCAACGTGGGTGCCTCCAGTCCTCTCGCTCCTCTGTCTCCCAGTCTTCTTCATTCTCATCCCAAGTGCCTCACATGTAGCAGCTTGAGCTTCGTGGGTGTGTCTTACGTGACATCCACCACCATCGCCACCATCACCACATCACCACCATCGACGCAACAGCCTCCTTCCCTTCTGGTGGAAGGTTGAAGATTCTCTGAGCAGATTGGTGGAGCATCAGAGTCTACCTACCTAGGCACGTGCAACCGCATGCACCTGGTGCCCGCAATCTCCGCAAAATCCTTGCTTGTAACCCTTAACCTGAGAATCCCTTAGCTGCCACACCACCGGAGCACCTCTGTCACAATACTGCTGAAACTATGTCTTATGCTCACTAACCTGATTCTTCCTACACTACATTGCAATCCGCATGTCGTACGGCAAACAGCACACAAAACAATGCAGCATTTAGAACATCAAATTGCTCAGTCATTGACTCGTTGCGTGGACTTATCTCATTGCTTATCGGGTTAGTTGCATGTTCGTGTCTTACTTCCTCTCCCTATCCATACCCTGAAGAGGGCTTAAACTTTGAGGGTTTGGGGTTCAGGGTTTTAGGGCCTTTCAATATCCGAATCTTGGCCAGAGGTTCCGTTCTCGGTCTCATAGCCCTCCTTCTGCCAACTCCAGTCCCATGAGTCCTCGCCCCAAATCTCCCGACCTTCCTCGGCTGTGAGCATCCGGAAAGGCTTTCCGACTTGTTTGTGATAGCTTCCAGCAATGAAAAGAATCCCAAAATTGTTCTATCCTCCTTAGGCGAGTGGCCAAGGAAATGGGCTCCAAGGGAAGGCTGAAAGGCAGAGGGGTGTGGCGAAACAGCCCCTGCTTCGAGGACCTGGCGGAAAGGGACTATTGCCACAACCCCTTCCCTCAGAATCGTAATCCCAGAAACTCCCAGCAACTGAGTTGCCGAATCTTTGCTAAGGATGCCCCAAAAAGTGGGTCCCTACCTGACAGAAACTCAACTTCCTACTTTTGTCAAAGGCACCTCGGCTCCACAAGAAGGACGCCCAGCTCCCGGTTTCCACTCCAGTGTATGTCGGGGCGGGTCTCGGACCTGACAGATTAGGTTTGAGGGCCTTGCGGCTGTTCTCAACCCTTTAACCGGGTTCCTTGATAGTTTTTGTGCTTTGCAGTTCGAAGAGTTTTCGCTACAATTTCGGCTTCGTGTTGGAGTCTTGCATCCCCTTAAGGCGCACGGAATCAGGCGGGGACAAGGATGTCAGAAACACTCGCTTCGATCTTGGGTTTGGGGTTCTCCAGCACTTCGCATGAAACCGCAGGCACTCTCCGATTTCAACACCCTGAAGCCCGTTGGGCTTCGAAACGCAACTCTAACACCACTTCGTCTGTGGCAGATTTGCCTGTGGATGGTGCCCCACGCTGAGACGGTGAGATTGTGGGAGCCCACATAGATCCATCCGTACCTTGGATCAAGGTCCCGTGCTTCACGGCTGTAACTACAATCTTCGGATGTGCCCTAAACCCGCTGAACCCTATAGGTCATGCACCAAGGTTCGGCTGCGATTCCGCCTCATCCCAGCAAAGTCGAGCGATAAGCTTTCCTGAGCGAAAAGCCGAAGTTCGCCTCACCTTTGAACCAGGAACCCTGCCTCGCGCCTGGACCGCACCCTAAACCCTGACACTCATGAACATCTTCGACCGAGTCGCCATGATTGCGAACTTTCTCCCTTCCCGGCGAGTGCCAAGGGGCCTGGTGCGCCACGAGGCGCGGCTCCCCCATAGAGGCCACTTCGAATCCTTAGCGTGCTGGTTTGTACAAGTACAATCATACTTGTATATATATATATATATATTCATACACTTGTACGGATCTATCTACACATCTTCGATCGTGTACGGCTCAGGATTGAGCACCTGGCCCTCGAAAGCGACTCATAAGCCAGGTCGCGGAGCCCTCCTTCTGCTGGAACCAGGACGCGTGGTCCTGGCCGACATGCCCAAAACAAGTTCCAATAGTTTCAGTTCGAGGATAAGCAACGACTTTTGAGGGATCCATGCCAAGCACGAAAACTATGACGACAAACCCGTACCCTTTCGCCCCTCCACCCACCCCCACTGACCACACCACCCCTACACCGCTGCACCCTTACGCCCTCACCAAGCACACCCCTCCACCCAGCACGCCACCCCATCCCGCCGCACTACACCCCTACCCCCAAAACCTCCAACGACACAGACGCCCTAAGTCGCAGCTGCTCGCCACGACCCCACATACCCGCACCCTGCAAGTCCTGCACTTCTACACCCTGCATATGTGGGGTGGTACATTTGGGTGTTGCAGGTTCGTCCACGGGAGCTTTGCACAATAAATGACCGAGCAGAGATCAGACCACAGTTCGAACATGGCCTTTGTGGCGAAGATAAGTTTCAGCCATCTTACATCGATGTACACGCACGCAAAGTACACTCAAGTAGAATCTGTCTGTCTGTCTGTCTGCCTGTCTTACTTTACCTTAGAACATCTTATCCTACCATCTCTGTTATTCTCTTCTCTCTTCTTCATGGCTAACTATCTTATCCATCCCTCCATCCCTCCATCCAGCCAGCCATCCATGGTCCATCGAATCTATATCCATGCATCCATCGATCGACATGCATCCATTCATCGATAGACCGATCTATCTATGCACACTTACACTCTCTCCGTCTCTCTCTCTCTCTCTCTCTCTCGAATCGGACGGGACAACATACATCTTTGTTCTTTCTGACAGCAGTCTTAGGTGTGGAATTCCCGACCCGCCTGGCAAGTCTCCCTCACCAGCTGCCCGGCCCACACAATCATCAAAGGCCCGGAACCAGTCCTGAGTCCCAACATAAGGGCTTTACTAACCGGAATCTTGTTTTGGGAGGTTTTATGTAGATTCTTCCATGTTCAGGAATGCTTTGGAATAGTGTTACTAGTATTGCTCAAGCCCCTGCATCGTGAAGCGCCAAACCTTATACCCGCAGTTGTAGACTGGCGCCCGTGAAACCGATCATCGACAATAAAGTAAAGATGCGCAAACGAATGCGGGCGAAACCTACAGCTTCGATCTTTAATTGGCTTCCGTGTATGGCAGTTTGGATAGAAAGGTGCTGATCTGTCCCAGGCTCCCCATCCAGGCGGCTAACCGAAGAGCTCAGGGCCACGAAGCTTCGTTCTTCCGACTGGCGCCAGGGAAGGTGGGACAGACTGGCTCGTAGAGCCATGAGCCCATAGTTGATCTCCTTCCGTCACAGCCAGGGCTGAAGCTTTGACAGGCAAATTCAGGGCCGTTGAGGGATGTCTAGTCGAACCCGAACCCTCGCAGACCAGTCAAGTCTATCTCGGCAGTTTTGCAAAGCTTGCAAGATGCAGCCGAGTCTCCAGGTGGGCCAAGAATTCGGCGACCCCGCTCGTCGCAGGGATGTCGTTGCTGTCTATGACTGGCAAAAGGCCTCCTGGGCTTTCCAAGGTAACTTGTACCAGCGGCAGCTTGCAGGCAATCTCTTCGCTTGGTGAAGAAGGCGCAGGCTCAGGATATTGTAGGTCTGTGGCCAAGAGGTCCACGTTCAGGCTGTCCGTTACATCGAACCCCAGAGTCTCAGCTGCGGAGAGTGCCTTGCATGAGACCGGGCTCAGAAATGCCAGAGGTAAGCCCGTCAGGCACAGCATCCAGCACTCGTCGCGTTTCTGAAGCCAAGCCTCACCGGTAAATTCCCCACGGGCCGCCGACAACAGGCTCTCAGTTTCTTCTGATCTCATGATCTCCAGGCTTTCTTCCATGAGCGACAGCCTCAATCCGATCTGCGTAGGGCTCAGCGGGCGCGCCTTCTCGTAGATGCCAGGGCGGGACATGATGAGGTGGACATTGCACTCCAAGTCAAAATGCGACAGTGTTGACAGCCACTGCATGCGCCGATGTCCGGGAGCGCCCTTGAGTAGCTCTGCCAAGCAGTGGGACAATGTCTGACCAAAAGTTCCGACGTTGAGCAGTGCCGAAACGTGCAAGCCCTCGTGTTGCAGTCGTGGAAAGTCCTTCGCCCACACCACCTCATTATTCATCTGCCAAAACCTGGGCAACAGATTTGCGCTGGATATGACAACCCGAAGCCGATCCTCAAACTCCAGGAGCATCAACTTGGAATGCACGCTACACTCGCTGTAGCCTCCTCCCTCCACAGGCTCCATGTTCGCTTCCGGTATCCGGACGTCGGCGGTGTTCGAGTGCCCGGAGAGGTGGGGGGATCCTGGAAAATGCAGGACCACATCCTCGAAGACAGCCTGAAGCTCTCCCCAGAGGCGATCCCTAGCTGGCCACGGGTGCCCACACAGTGTCACTGGCGTGTCTCTGCCCAGATTGAGCTGCTTCTGTAGCCATTCGACGTCATCTGGCAGGTCGAAGGTGGTCATCAACACCGACAGAGGGGACACTTCCCGGTCCCCCACACGGGCCAGATTCCGGATCCCAAGCGCTGCGATGTTCAAACTTTCGCCCAAACCCAGCCGAGGCTCCGAGATGGAAAAAGTCAGAAACGGCTCCTCTCCCTCCGAGCTCTTGGCCACGGCCTGCTCAAGCTCCGTTCGTTCCTCTTCTGTCAGGAGGGGGTCGTCCACCTCTGATCGCAAAGTCACAGAATCAAAACTCAGCCCTCGAAGCTGAACTCCACAACAGTCCCAGGCACTTCCAGGGCGACCTCTTCGATTCTATTCAGCCAGAAGCCGTCGCCTTTGAACCAATCTCCAGGGGGGCAACCCGTCCAGGCGCCTGGGTTCCATCTTCGAGTCTTCTAGCTGCTAGCTACAACTCTCTCCACACTCGAACCTGGCCCAACAAACTCCGTGTAGTCTCAGTCGAAGCATGCCTGCAGACTGCAAGATCGCCTCCAAACTTGCCTAGATGCTCCAGGACCTTGCCGGATCTTCCTGCGATTCAGGATCTACACATCGAGGTGTGGGGGGGGGAGGGGGTGCTAGTGAGTGCTCGACACATCCGTCATGCACCACTGCACAGCATGCGCACGGAAGGTGGCTTTAATCGGAAAGATATGGGACGATCAACTTCGGTCTTTGCAGGTGTCACGCACAACTGAAGAATGAGATGCTCAAGCCGTGAACCGAAGCAGCCTTTTCCGCTAGGCAGCCATGTTCCTAGCTTTTGTTCATGAGGGCTCTTGAGGGAAACTGCTTGCCAGAATGGCTGCCAACAAAGCTTAAAATGGGAAGCACTAGATGCAATCCCACTTCCGCATACGACAGAAGCAAACAAATGTTGTAGCAAGCGCGTGCCTGAAACGCAGCATTCCTGACTGCCGAGGTGGCACAGCCATCGAAGCGCTTGGGGATCCAGTCGGCAATCGGAACCTCGGAAAACGTGGTGGATTTCAAGATGACCGTGTCTTTTCACCTGCAGCAGCAGGAAGCATCCTGCCTTGTTCTTTGCCAAGATCTTATCACACGATGTAATCGTGCGTATCACGTCCGAGATGTCGTGGTTCAACTGCTTCTGATATGCGACTGCATCTTGCGGTTCTTGCATCAGCCGTTCAAGGCTTCTCCTCTGTTTCTGCGCCTGCGCCTCCGCCAGGTCTGTGAGTTGTCGGTGCACAGCTTCGGTGAGATCTTCCGATACGACCGAGACCATGCTTCGCCTCCTTACGTCGAACATCAAGCAGTAGAAGATCAAGTCTTGGGCCAACCCGACAATGTCGCGACACGGAAAGTATGTGGGCTTTGCATTCAAGTTCATGAATGCGTGTTGCACACACGGCAGACCCCTCCAGGGACATACCTCCATACCAAGGAGACAGCCGGTCTCGGCCCTCCGGGGGACGCAGCAGGTGCTCTCGTCTACAGCAGCTTGCAGCTGCCTCAGAAGATCCTCAGGTGTCCCGCAGGGGCCAGGAGCAAAGCCCTGGGCTTGACAATGAATCGTCATGCTGCGCATCGCCTGCGGCGCTTGTCTCTGCACATGCCCGCCACCAGCAGCTACTGACGCCCACCACTGCTTCACCCAAGCTTCAAACTCAGCGGCGAGGATGCTTGACTCAGATTTAGTGGAGCAGTTTGCGATCACACTCGCATCCAGCTTGATGCCGTGCAGTTTGGCTGCCACATAGTGTGTGCCAAACTCTTCGGTGAAGCGTTGAAGGGCCGCGGCTTCTTCATCATAGGCTCCATCACGCGGTGCCAGAACCTTGAGCGTTGCATCTGAGAGGCGTGCCTCGAATGGATCCTTGGAATCAGGATAGCTCAAATCATCGCGGAAGGCCTGCCTACTGCCTGCCACTGGCTGCCTGCGATGCTGGGTGTCAGGCTATCTGATGAAGTTCAGTCGCTGAGATGAATGTTATCAGGACGGTCATGCTGGTGTCCTGACAGAAATGCGAGGAAGAGCAGTGATGCCAGCAAATCGGGACATCAGAGACGCCAAAGGCTCTCCTGCGTATTGACCCTAGAAGCCATTTCAGCCGACGTTGACACGGACGCTCCCCAGCCAGGCGCTTCTAGCCGAGCACAGCTGCTGGAGTGCTTCAACGCATCTTCAACGCTGTCCACTTTCGTGATGACCAGCCCGCTGCGCTTTTGCTCTCTTTGTATATGCAATCTCGCGGGCTCCAGGGGACAGCCTCTTGGCCGGATATCGGTATGAAGGAAGCTGACACCGAATCCGAGTCCAATGCCTGAGCTTGATTCGGTGCTCAAAGCGTAGGACAGGACCGTAGGAGCTGAGGAAATCAAAGCGCCCGGCCACTGTGTTTGCATTGCACGAATCGCTCAGGGGGGGGGCCCTCAGCCTCCTCGCCTCGGCCATGTTTTCCAACACTCTGCTCCGTTTGCTATGCTCCGGTTCCGGTCTCTGAGACCTGGGGACCTGACCCATGGTTCAAGAAGAGCCACATCCACCTGCGAGCTTCTTCTCGATTGCTGTCGCACCCCTGAAGTGACACCGGGCCTGGGCTGATAAAAGCCGGGCGCTCAGCTGACTCAGCTGAAGTCGCTAATCATGGCTTCAAGCTAGGTGTGTCTTGCAGTGCAGAAGGGAAAAGCTCTTGAAAGCTGCGGCTTCGGACGTGACAGAGCACCTTGCCAGAGCCAACATCCCGACAAGTAGGCACTTTTACGCTCTACTTATTCTTTGTGCTACAAGACATGCCCCAGTCTCCTGACAAAGCAGCACACAAGATTCAATCTCCAACGCTCCGAGGTTCAGGTCGAAACCGGGACCTGAGCAGTCATCCGTGCGGAGAACCTTGGGCAAAGAGGCAGACAGCCCACAAGCGGCAAGGAGTGTTGCACTCCTTGTGCTGTGGAAGTCAAGCCTCTCGCCCCTACAGATAAGCTAGGCGCTAAGCTAAGTACTAAGGTTACTAAGGCACTAAGGAAACTAAGGGACCTAAAGCGTCCCTGCTTCTAATTGGCACCGACCATCAGGAGCAGCCGTGCGATCTCTGCATGACCGCCTTCAGCTGCAAGAGCCAGGGGTGTCTCGCCGCTCGCGTTGGGCCGGTCGCTGTCTGCCATCGCCGCAAGCAGTGATCGCACGACGGAAAGGTTCCCACTCCGTGCTGCCATGCAAAGAGGAACGTCGCCGGCGCTGTTTGTGTGCTCCAAACACGCCCCGGCGTCAAGGAGCAAGGCTAGAATCCTTACATGGCCGTTTTGGCAAGTGGCACACAAAGGAGTGTCACCGCTCGTGTGGAATGCAGGGTCGACATACGCATCAGCTTCCAGCAAGCAGCTTGCGATATCATTGTGGCCAAAGTAAGCGGCGATGTAGAGAGGCGTGCAACCACTTTGGTCTGGACGGTCCTTCCCAGCACCAGTTCTCAGAAGCAAGTGCGCAACATCTGTGTGGCCACCACGGCACGCGATGTGAAGCGCGATTTCGCCGCGGTCGTTCGCTTGGTGGGGGTTGACGGCGGCCTGCAGAAGCAAAGAAACGATTGCGGCATGGCCTCCTTTGGATGCAACCGAGAGGGGCGTGTAGCTGTGACTGATTGCACGGTTTTTGTCGGCACCGGCATCCAAAAGCAAACGTGCGACATCCACGTGGCCCCCTGCACATGCCAGGAAGAAGGGTGATGGTTCTCCCTCCATCGCCGGCTCGACTTGGGCATCTGCGTCCAGAAGCAAGCGAGCCACTGTGACGTGGCCGTATTGTGCAGCTGCGCAGAGGGCCGTGGCACCATAGCCTGTCCGAGTCCGAGTTCGATCTGGGGCAGCATCCGCCTCCAGGAGCAGGCGGACAATTTCGGTTCGATTCTCCTGTGCCGCAGTCCACAAGGGGCTAAAGCCGAAATCGTAGTCCGGGAGTTGGCGCAAGATCTGATCAACCTCCAGAGACTGCCCTCGTTCAACGGCCGCTTGCATCCGCTCCATTTGGTCCCTGGATGCCTCCATAAAGCTTCTCAGCACAAGCGTCACATCCATGGGAGAGTCGAGCTCATCATCGTCCTGCAGAATCCGGCTTCCGTGCAGTAGGAACTCCTTGCTTGGAACCAATCGCCGGCGCAGCTTGCGCAGCTGCCTTTTCAGTGCCCTCACAGAAAGCTCTTCGAGGTCGGCGACGGTGGCGAGCACTTCTCCACTGGGCCAAACAACACGAAGCATGGGGGAAGCCTCAAGGGCGCTCCATTCTGCAAGGGGTCTCTGGACCGAGGCTGACAAAACGGCTTCCAGGTGCACCGCAGACATGTAAGCTGAGCTGAGTCCGAGAGTTCACGAAAGGACAAGCGACGATCTGAAACCCTGCGAGCCCTTCAACTCCTGGGGCTCCAGTGCCCGGGCCTGCTTCCCTGGACCGTCACCACCACACCGCTGCAGTGATTCAGCTCAGGTCGGGTTTCCAGGCCCACGAGCCTGGCCAAATTTCTGCCGCAGGGCTTTCTCCGTAGAGGTTGTTCTTCAAGACAGCTTTGAAGAGTGTTGCGGTGCAGGTGGTATGGTGCCTGGCTTGCGGGCTGCGGGGGGTAAGGCTTCGAGTTGATGACTCAGGCAGGGCTGCTGCTATAAATGCTGTCTAGAATGAAACTGCCTGCCTGTTCTTGTCATAGTTGCGCAACATGGCCTTCCCAAAAGTCCAATCTTATTCTGAATTGCTGGCCACTTGGGCTCTTGTGTCGGCCTGTTTCGGATCGTTGCACAGGATGTACACCGACCCCCCAACTCCCTACACCCGAATCCCGTCCCTCAGCTCTATATACCCTACTCCTTAAAGCCCAGAAACCCCAATCCCCAAGCCCCTGAAGCCAAATCCCCAAACCCAACTCTCAAAGCCCTAGTCCCGCAACCCAAGTCCGAAGTCCCTAACCCCAATCACCGGAAGGTCTGAGGCCCCCGCCTAACCCGAGATCCGACTTCGAAGCCCCTGGAGATGGACCCGAGGCTCCGAGAGAGTACCGAAGAAGAAACGAAGGGCCAATGATTCTGTGATGATTATACAGAACGAGCATTAGTAGTGTTGATGATATAGAATCTTGCTTATTGTTGTTATACCCACGAATGTTTGATTTTTGTCGCTGTTCTTGCTATGAAGACTATCCGAAAACTGAGGGCCTGGGAAATCCGGGATTGTGAGGATAATGGCGCATTGAAAGATGAAGTTTGTATGGAAGTAGACGCGCTGCATTTCGTCACAGAGTCCTGCAGAACCCGGGGGCCCCTGAAAACACGACTTAACATGCAGGTTCTGTAGACCGTAGACACTTCGCGGCCTCGTGAACCATATTTATAGGAAGCACAAACCTCCGCCCTCGACGTTCTATTTCCCTGAAGCCCGCGAGTTTCAAGCCTCGCGTCCGTGCGCTGAGGGATGGCAGTGCTGGTTGGCCTCCAAAACCGCAACGGAGGCTCACAGGGCACGTTTCGTGATGTCTGGAAATGTATCCGTACAGACACTCCTTGCACATGTACGTACACCCTTGCAGCCCTTGCTTGCTTGCTGTGTTGCAGCCTCAGGTTCAGGAAGGGGACTTGCAGGTAGCCGTATCTTGCATGCGAAGCTGTACGTCCTTAAACTGTAAACCAATGAAAGCAACATGAACTGCCACAGACGTCCACTCTCGCACCTCGAAGAGCTTGCGGGCGTCGGGGCCGAAGTAGCCGACCTCACGTGGGCCGTAGGATTTAGGGCTTCTTTGTGTTGCTCAGCCTGGATGACTGACAGGCCACCTCAGCGACTCTGCATCTGCATCCTTCCTTGTCTTCTTCTGCAGGGCATGAGGGGCTTCCAAACCCCCCGGGCACATGCCCCCCCCCCTTTTGTTAGAGTTATGGGGCATTGAGGGAGTGTGACACGATAACTGTTTCTCCTGTAAAGATTAAGTTGTCTCTCTCTCTCTCTCTCTCCCTCTCACTACCGGGTGTGAGGGTCGGGACAGCGTCCAGGTCCCTTCCCTCGTGCGCACACGCACACCCGCTATTCGCGAGTTGTCCATAGCTTTTCCCTCCAGGTGTTTTTCCTGTGGGACTCGGCTATACAGTACATTGGTGCGATCTCCCCTCCCCCCCGGTCTGCAACTGGACACTGACTGTTGAAAGAAACACGTTTCGACCGGGTCAGGAGTCCCCCTCAGTTTGGTGCCTCCCTCAACTTCAGCCGAACAGCATGTCTAGAGTCTAGAGCAGGTGGGCGCAAGCACAGACACTCTGAGGGCCAGGCCGGGACAGGAGGTGCTGTGTGCACCAGGCTTCCATTCAGAATGGAAATCAACAGCCAACAGAAAGTATCACTAAGGTTGTACCAAGGAATCCCCCCTTTCATGGAAGGCTCTGTTGTCTGTCCCGGCTGTGCACCGAACCGCCTTTAGGCATTAGCCATTACTCTGGCAAGTCCCCCGACTTCCTTGTCTCTCTCTCTCTCTCTCTTTCTCTCTCTGTCGGTTGCTCCGCTACAAAGGGGCTGACCGGCCTGCCGTCGGCTTCGAGCGTGACGTTCTGAGGCTTCAGGGCCTGACAGAACCAGCCCGTCCGAGGCATTTCCGAAAACAAGACCCTCTTGAGACAGGGTGAGGCGTGGTGAATGGATGGACGCTGATTGAAGCTGTGGTACCGCACAGGGCTGAGCAACTGACACATCCTTCTCAGGCTGAGGCTTCGAGACCTACTTTGACTTTGATGTCTGAAGCCCTCGCATGCTGAAGCCTTGATCCTCACTCTCAGGGGATCATGTGTAAAGTGCTGAACTGCCGAACTTGACCTAGGGCACTTCATCTTGTAATACCTTGCATTTCTTAAAGCCTTGCGTTCGCCACTCCGCCCTTATGGCGCGTGCATCAGGCATTTTGCCAGGGTGACCTCAGCATTACTTGCGTCACACGTGTTGTGTACTGATCTGCGAAAGGCCTATGGCCACCTCGGCAAAACTCTTCTTCTGAATGAAAAGGATAAAACATTCTTCGACATCTTCGGTTCACACGCCTTGATGCTGCCAGCCTCTGCGCCGGAGTTAAGCTCCACGAGGTAACGCCCATCCTCCTGAAAATGGAAGACGGGCCTCTGTTGGGGCTTTTGGGGCCATGGGGTTCTGTGCCTTTGGGGCCATGGGGTTCTGTGCCCGTTTGGGCTCTCACAATTCCACAGCACCGCTGGAGTTTGTGCTGGGCATCTGTGTGTAAGTGTTTCAGCAATTGCAATTGAGCTCCGCTCCTTGGCGACAAGCGTGCCGATGCTGCCGTTCCTGAGGCTGAGGGTCTGCTTGCGATGCCATGTCTCAAAGCTCTGGGCATCCGAGGGCCCTGCAAATGCTTGGCACCGGTGAGGCCGTCGACGCGCACTTTGCTGCCCTCCACTAGCGGCCGGCCCTCGGCGCGTGCCGATGGCACGGATGGCGCAGCCGCAGGAGCCTTTAACGGCGGCATCTCGTCTTCATCCTGGTCGGCG